ACGTAAACGAGCTACTAGTTTAAGTTGCGAACTTAGCCTTTACTCAACACTGATTTTAAATCTCCTTATGCTATGGTAGATTGTGTTGAGTTGTTTGAAGAATTGCTTGGAAGGTATTAAGGACTCAATGGAGTTAAGGTATGTTAAGGCTATCCCTTCTTTCTTTTTGGCATGATCCAAATGATACAAACGAAACGAGCAAAATACGCAACTTTCATAAATGACTCTATTCATAGAAATACTAGGGGTGTCTATATTCTTAATTCTCCATGTAAATTATTATTATATCCTCTATTCATGGGTCTCAGAAAAATACGTATTTGATAAAGTTTGTCCGAAAGGCATATTGATTTTATGATATTCAAGAAATCTTATTAACGTATTTCTTATGTATTTCATGCATTTATACATGTACATTGACCCATGACCAAAAGGCATTATATACGTGTATATTATATGTATATGGGATATGGGAAAAGATTACGGCATTATATATGCACTACCACCTGATCAGCTGGTATACGTTAATGATTTTGCCCACAGTGGCCGAGATGATATGATGGGATGCCCTCAGAGGATTGATGATGTTATGTACGCATATAACTATACATGGTATGGAATTTATATGCACATGCATGACATTATAAATTTTCATGATTCACAGAGCTATTCAGAATTATAGGTTGAGTTCTTTACTCCATGTTTCTTTCATGTCTTTTATATACTACTCTCATGCCTTACATACTCGGTACTTTATTTGTACTGACGTCTCTTTTGCCTGGGGACGCTGCATTTTATGCCCGCAGGTCCTGATAGACAGGTTGAGAGTTATCTAAGTAGGCTATTAGCTCAGCGGAAGATGTTGGTGCATTCCATTTGCTCCGGAGTTGCTTATTTGGTCAGTATGATTCAGATGTGTATTGTTTAGTATGGCCCTGTCCCGACCTTTATGGTATTTATCTACTCTTAGAGGCTTGTAGACATATGCCAAGTACGTAAAAGATTGTATGGTCTTGTCGGCCTATGTTTAGTATACGAGTGATCATTTTGGTCTTATAGGCCCAAGTTGGTATTTCATGTTTTATTCTATTTATCTCACGACAGCCTCTCCAGCTCATTTACCTATAATAGTATGATACGAAAGATACGTTACGTTGGTACTCGGTTGAGTAAGGTACCGAATGCCCGTCGTGGCCCATCGGTTTGGGTCGTGACAGTCTTCAATAAGGCGATTATAGTCTTTTAGGAGGCTACCAAGTATTTGTACTGAAGTTCAGGGATTTACTATGTCTTCTTGTTCATCAAATCTTTAAGTCCTTCGGTCTTCAAGTTTGCTGCTATTCAAGTTGAAATGTTTAAACCCTCCAAGTCTCCGAGTTGAAGTCTTCAAGTTCGTCGGTCTTCAAGTTAAAGTCTTCACGTTCGCCACTCTTCAAGTTGAAGTCTGCAAAGTCTGCCAAGTCTGCAAAGTCTGCCAAATCTTCAAAGTTTTCAAATATTCAAGTCAATGTCGTCAAGTCCACGAAGTTTTCGAGTTGAAACTTTATAATTTTCCAATCTTAAGGTGGACATATGAGTCCCTTTACCTTAAGTTGGCCTCTTCGTGGGTTTGTCCTTAAAATGAAACTATAATTTTTCAATCTTAAGGTGGACATTTGAGTCCCTTTGCACCTTAAGTTGGCCTCTTCGTGGGTTTGTCCTTAAAAGGAAACTTTATTTTTCAATCTTAAGGTGGACATGTAAGTCTCTTGAGAGTAATCTCTATGATAGTCGGGACATATTGAGAGTAATCTCTCCGATAGTCGAGGCACATTGAGAGTAATCTCTCCGATAGTCGAGCCACATTAAGAGTAATCTCTCCGATAGTCGGATCATTTTGAGAGTAATCTCTCCGATAGTCGAGCCACATTGAGAGTAATCTCTCCGATAGTGGGAGCGCATTGAGAGTAATCTCTCCGATAGTCGGGGCACATTGAGAGTAATCTCTCCGATAGTCGGGGCGCATTGAGAGCAATCTCTCCGATAGTCGAGCCACATTAAGAGTAATCTCTCTAATAGTCAGGGCAAATTGAGAGTAATCTCTCTATTAGTCAAGCTACATTGAGAGTAGTCTCTCCGATAGTCGGGGTGCATTGAGAGTAATCTCTATGATAGTCGGGCCACATTGAGAGTAATCTCTCCGATAGTCGGGCCACATTGAGAGTAATCTCTCCAATAGTCGGGGCACATGGAGAGTAATCTGTCCGATAGTCGAGCCACATTGAGAGTAATCTCTCCGATATTTGGGCAAGGATGAGTACCCATCCCCTCACACCCTAAGATTGTCTTCCTCATGCATGGATCATCTCGTTAAACAAGAACACATCCTTCTCGTTTGACCTACAAAAAGAAAAAAAAAAAGAAAAAAAAATGCAAAATAATAATAATAATAATAACAGTAACTGACAACGATTCACTTGGATAGGCTTGCGAGCTGCGACTGATGCCAATTGAAGGGAAGGCACATCCCTACTTATAGATTCTCCAAAGATGCCAGTTGATGGGTTAATTGCGATATGGGAGTAGAGATTTTTAGAGTCCAACATGGACTTGCTCTCCTAATTCAATTCTAATAAAAAAAGCTACAAGCAGAAGGCTTCTAACCAATTTGGACACTTACGGATTTTGACAAAATCGTATAAGGCCAAAAGTAGTAAGGGGCAAAGTCTCAGAAGTCCATCTAATTAGGAAGGCAAGAAGTAAATCATATTTTTGATTCTTTCAGTAATATCTCATGTAAATTTGAATTAGAATCTCAAAGTTATAGTTTAGATTCTTTTCAATTAATCTTTTTACGTGAAGATAAATTGGATGTTTGCAAAAATGGTTAAAATAAATAAAGACATTTGTTACCTAAATACTTCAAGCCTAGTCTTCAAAAGTTTAAACATCTTGACGAGTCTTGAAGTAGGGTGCATTTGTAAGTATATAAATTTTATTGGAATTAAATCCGTAAAATAATTAGGACTATATTTTAAAATTCAAGATATATCAGTTCAAATAAATTTATTGGACTAATATAATTGGATTAATTATAAGCCCAATATATATGGATTAAATAAATAAGCCTTAATCCATTGGGCTAGTTCATTTAATTGGGCTAAAGTGATGAGCCCACTTAATTAAGCCCAAGATGTCATCTTCCTAGAGGCCCAGTTGGGTGCCACGTGTCAAATGACGTGGCACCATGCCATGTGTTAAAATGACAAGGCATGCCAAGTCACATTAAAAGACTAATAAAATCACGCCACGTGTGCAAGCGACATGTTCTGGCCAATCAAATGCGACCATGTCACACTTCAATTTGATTGGTCGGAAAGAGTTTGTTCTTATCACAACTCCTCCCTTCCACAACTATAAATAGAGGTCTTCATAACCCAGAAAAGACCACCAGAAGTGATAACAAGAAGCAAGAAAGAGCTCGTGGATCAAACGCTGCAAATTCCTCCACAAATTTCAAGCTTCAAGTTCAAGTTCAAGAAATCAAGTTCAAGCTCAAGAACGAAGAACAAATCAAGTTCAAGCTCAAGAACGAAGAACAAATCAAGGTCAAGTTCAAGCAATCAAGCTAAAGCTCAAGAACAAGATCATCATTCGTGGCGACAACTACATATTCAAGATCAAGCTCAAAGGCCCTTGAGTATATTTATTGTTGGAAAGAAGAATTAGAGAATTCATAGAGATTGTACACTCATATCATTTGAAATAAAATACTATAATTGTTGCGATATTTTTCGGTCTTGATTTTATTTTCTCGACGCAATTTATTGTCTAGAAATTCTTTTATATAATACCTAAATTCTCAAAAGTCAGCGTGTTATTACTTAAAAGTTTTAAAATAAACTAAAACATTAAATTTAAAACTCAAGACCTTTTTCTTGTTGCTAGAAACCCAATTTATGGTCTCTCCCAACTCTTTATCTTATCCGTTAGTCTCCTACCATCTCCCAAAAGAATGAAAAGTCAATTTTTTTTCCTAAATACAAAGAACACCCAATTCTACTCTATAGCAATAAGTTCAAAGTTCAAATTATAGGTTATCCTTTTAGTTCCTCCGTGTAGAAAACTTAATTCTTTTCCACTCAAATTATTTGTGCTTGTAAATAGCATATAATGAATTATTTTGACTAGCTTTTTGTGGGGATGGAACACATCTATATATATCTTTTAATTATTTATATCTTTCTTCAATTTTTATCCAATTTTACCTATTTAAAAATATTTACTGCAATTATATTATTTTATAAAATATTAAAAATTCGTTGAGACATATGTAAAACGTCTCGCCTTGCGCCCACACTTTTTAAAACACTGCTTTTAAGTTGTGAATCTGAATGGAATTGAGAGAGCTGATGAGGTTAATGAAGTGACGGAGAAAATATTGACAATGTGGGAACAGTGGCGGAGCTATGTACGGTGAAACAAGTTCAATTAAATCCCCTTTGTCGAAAAATTGCCTATATATGTATATAGATAATTCTTTTATGTATATACATAAAGAAAATTTTTAGTGTAGTTTTTTTTAATTTCCTTGTCAGAATTTATGGTTATCTGCACAGTGTGGGAGAGACGAAGTTGTTGAAGGACATATATAAATGGATTCTTTTACTGTATGAGAGTGCAATTAAGTAAGTAGTATCATACCAGGGAAAATGTGTTCCTCAAAAAAGACCAAGTTGTACAGTCTATGGCCTAAGAATATTTTAAAGTGCCAGGAATTAAAGTGAGAGCTGGAAGCTTGCTGTTTGGAATGATCAAAGATGGAAAATTCTTGCTCTTTTTCTCTCTTTTTGTTTTCCTGACTATTTGTAAAGAAAAAGCATGTGCAAATACCTGACTTGACAATGAAGAGAAATCACCTATCCTAAAGTAAAAGAAAGCCTTTATTCTTTCACTAGCCCTATAACTAAGTTTAAATGCATATGTTAGTGCTCAACAATTTTAAAATTTATAAAGAGAAGATGGATAAACAATCTGCTAAAGGAACTAAGGTTACTAGAGAAGAAGGTTGGAACGTCGGTAATGAAAAGTTTGCTGATATTAATCCAGAAGAATGGAGCATTACATTCCATCAAGAATCAAACTCAACTTCTCATGAAATCAGTGAAAATGAGAGAAAATGGCTATGTTCTGTGGAGAATTCCCCTGCCATTGGCTCTTCTGAGAAGCCAAAGATACAGATGGTCCCCAAAATGCATCGCGAGAATGAAGCAAACAGAAGGTGCTATGAGCCTCTTGTGGTCGCAATCGGTCCATTTCACCACGAAAAATCCAAGCTTCAACCTATGGAAAAGTACAAGGTATTACTGGCAAATCAGTTTGCTAAAGAAAGTAGCAAAGAAAAATCAGTATCTATTGATGTGCTTTACACAAGGGTCAAGGACATTGTGCCCAGTGCTAGGGACTGCTATGCTAAGGACTCAATTAAAGATTACAACGACGAGGAATTTGCAAAGATGATGTTCTTGGATGGCTGTTTCATTCTCCAATATATTCACTGCCTTGTCACAAGAAACTATAAGCAGCTGCAGATGAAGAGCCATGATATAGCTTTCATTCGTCGTGATCTTTTCTTACTTGAAAATCAGTTACCTTTTGAAGTCCTGCATGTGTTAATGAGCTGTAGGTTCAAGAAAGATGAAGGAATGGAGATGATTAAAACGTTCATCTCGAGTGCACATGCAAAGCCTCTTCAAAGCCATGGATTAATTCAAAATATCAAGTATTTATTTCTTGATTTCTTTGGCAAGATTTCTGAAAGAGAAAAGCCTTCCCTTACCCAAGAAGAAACCTCAAAAAATCAAATTCCTGCTCATCTCCTCGAGATATTAAGAGCACAACTCATAGACCCGAATGCTTTCTCAGAAGGCGGATGCTATCTAAGGGGTGAGTGGTGCTCGTATCGTTCAGCTAGGGAGCTGAGCAGAGCAGGAATCCATTTCGAGTGTGGAAAGAGACGTTGTCTTTCAGATATTAAGTTCAATTCATTCCGTTTCTCAGCTCTTTTAACACTTCCACCTATAACCATAGATGATTCAACCAAGTCGGAGCTATTAAACTTAGTTGCATACGAGGCATGCCCCGATACACCAGATGACTTTGGAGTTACATCTTATCTTTGCCTGATGGATTCACTAATTGATCATGCTGAAGATGTGAAGGAGCTGAGATCAAAAGGTATACTATTAAACTTTCTTGGAAGTGATCAAGAAGTAGCAAATCTCTTCAATGAGATAGCAACAGATTTGGTGCCAAATCCTCATGCCTTTATTGATGTGAAACACAAAATTGAGAATCATTACAATAACAAAGGAAAAGTATGGGTTGCTGAGTGGAAAAACACTCATTTTGATAGCCCATGGACTGTTGTTGCATTTATTGCAGCAATTTTTCTCATTCTTTTACAAGTAGCTGATACAGTTCTAGCAGCTTTCCAGGTCAAATTTGCAGAACCACCAAAATAATGTAGCTACGTACTAATCTAATAGGATTCAAAACCAACCAGCTCCTTTTTTTCCTGCAGAAAATAATAAATGTCATGTTTGTTGAATTCATCATTTCTACCTTACTGCTATGATGGTGATCGATCTTTGTACTCTTGTTTATGTATACAAAGTAGTACTAATTTGTTTTTGTATACTTTATTTGTGTAAGTTTACTACTTTGAAATTGAAGCATTTGAATGGTATTGGATCATAATTAAGACCTTCGAATGACAAAATAAAAAAATACTCCCTCTATTACTGTTATATGTGACACAATTACTATTTGGAGTGTAAAATTTTTTTTATTTGATTATTATTTTTTTGAATATTTTGAGTTAACAATTCTAACTGATAGTGTTTTTTATGTAGTTTTTAGATATATAAATTTTTGTTTTAAAAAACTTAAAGATTTTATATTTGAATTTTACACAAATAATTATCTCACATCCGAATCATATAACATAAAATGAAACAGATGGAGTAATAACTATTCATGATGTTTGATATACTCAAGACTACAAAAGGTTATTGCACCAATTAACAATATTAATCTTCCTAATTAATCGAGAATCAATCTCATTCTTATGAAGAGGTTGTTTAAGTGACTGATACTTTGGACTATGTACTTCTCAAA